AGTGCACTACTCTCCTCCTTCAGTGTAACCACCTCATGAGCCTCAACCGGGTTCTCCATCTTCTCGTGTGAATCAACCACAACCATCTCGACCATTGGTGCCTTTTCTTCTTGCTCATGCACCTCGTTCACCTTAGTCGGGACTTCACCTATCGTCTCTTGGGCATCCTCGGCTTTGAAATCCTCTGTGGTGATCTCCGTATGACTCGGAAATTGGCCCTCTTGCTGTTGACTTTCGACCATCGTGATCATTTGCCCCAAGTGCTGCCCAATCGACTTCATTCGATTCTCCATCGAAGCAGCTCGAGCCTCATTTTTAGCTATCAACTTGTCCATGTCACTCATGACCCTGGTGAACGTATCCTCAAATGACTCCTTCTTCGGTTCGTTCATGAATTTTTGTGTCTCAGTCATAAATGTTTCCGTGGTTCTCATGAATGAGGCGAACGCTTCTTCGAGTGCCGACTTCTTCGGCTCATTGATGACCCCATTGGTCACCGAAAATCCCATTGGCGGTTGTAGAGCATTGTATGGATCGGTGTACGAGAAATTAGGGTAGTTCTGGTTGCCCGAATAGTACGTGTTACCTCCTTGATATCCCCAGAAATTGTCGTAATTCCGGTCATGCAAATGATTCACGTTCTGAACGGGTTCATACATCGACACCGCATTCACCCCGACATTCTCGTTCTTCACCCCTTGCAAGCCGTTAAGCACCAATGTGGCTATTTGAGCCGACAACTCCAAAATTTGGTCTGTATTGGTAGTCGTCGACACTCTATTAAACATCGTCTGCTCCACCGGCCATTGGTAGCTATTAAACGCCATCTCACAAAAAAAAGTAAGGAGAATAGAAAAATATCAGAAAAGAGAAAAATAAAGAAAAAAAAATAATAAAACAAAAATATCTAAACTAATATGTCTAAACTAATATTTATTCGTCTTCTTCTAATATTAATCAATTCAACAAACAATCCCCGGCAACGCCGCCAAAAACTTGTTCGCAAAATATTTTCACTATCCGCAAGTGTACGGTATAGCTGTAGTGAGTGGCGAGCAAGGTCGTATTCCACAGAGATTGTTGTCAAAATTAACCAAGTATCAAAATGTAAACGATTAAATATTATTTAGTCTAATGCAAATTTGAATGGTGATTTTATTCTAAACTAATGAATGATTGCAAAATAAATTCTAACACTAATGAAGGCTTGTTCTAAGATAAATCAAGAATGAGAAAATAGATTCTAGGCTATGCTTTCCTCGGGATTATTCTAACAAAGATTAATTATTCATTCAAACCTTATTTAATTCTACCATTCGTAGGGATAATCACTAAAGTAATTTACACCTTTCTCTCGAACAAGTTAAATCGTAGATATTAATTGTTATCTATCTCCTCTCGGTCTCAAGATGAACAATCAACTCCCATAAGCTCCTAAGATTCTAGTTCCCTCGCAAGATTCTATCAACCTCTCGGTCTGTTTAGTCTCTTACGTTATGAATTTCCCAATTCTAGCAATCAACTATCTCCTCTCGGTCTCAAGTCAATCACAAATATGCATAAATACGGGCCCTTATATTCACACAATAAACAAAAGCACAAGAAATTGATAAACGAATGATAAACCGGAATGAATAAACAAAATCACTTCATAAAATAATCCGAGTACTCGCAAATCCTAGAATCCCTAAAAGGTTTAGCTACTAAACATATTCTCAAAACTCAACATAAATTTATTCATGAGTTCAATGAAGAAGAAAAAGAGAAAAGAAAGAAGAACTATTGTCGCCGTTAGTTCCCGGATCTTCAATCTTGACTTCCTCGAATCCCTCGTGTGTTTCGTGCTTTCTCTAGGCCTCCAATGATGTCAAAAGTCCCAAAAACGAGTTCCTAAGGCCTCTTTTATACTGTAGGGTCATTCAGGGTCGAAAAAGGGAAGAAAACGCGTAAAAATCCTATTCCCCGCAGGTCTGGTTTGCGCGTCACACGAGTCGTGTGACTTTTCTCAACGTTTCGGCGAACTTTCAGACTCACACGACTGGTCACACGACTCGTGTGAGTCCACACGACCCGTGTGATAAGCCACACGACCCGTGTGAAAAAGCCGTAGCTGCGTTTCTTATTTTCTCAACCCACACGACCCGTGTCACTACCCACACGAGTCGTGTGACCTCTTCTGCACCCGTTTTCGCCGTTTTTCATCCCGATTCCATCTCCAACGCATTTTCGGGCATATTTCCTGCAAAAACAACGACAAAAATACCTCTATCATAGTTTAATAAATAAAACGAATTGGTGCACAATCACACGATAACCAGGGCCAAATATCACAATATATCACTCATAATGCATGAAAATATGATGAATATCACCCTTCATGTTGCAACACTCTAAATGTATAAGTGAACAAATGGTCTTGCATATCCCAGCCAAATTTCTCAGCCACTAGTGAACTCACCATCCTTTGACCATTAGCCACTTTCACCAAAAGAGGTTTGGCAGGTGTAAGGGTGCAGCCCAGTTCCTTTGCTGTGAGTTCCCTGATAAAACTGAGAGTGCTTCCTGAATCAACCAAAATGTGAAGCTGATGTCCTGCAACTTTACCACACAACCTCATTGTAGTGAGGCCATCTTCTCCTGTTATGGTTTTCAGGGACATCTGTACCTCATCCATTGCCTCCATTACCTCCTCAATCCCCTCTGTTTCTGAATGGGTGTGCAAATAGGCCAACTCTTCCTCCTCTGTCATTATCATATAGTTATGTCTTTGTTTGCATCTATGCCCAAATGTAAATTTCTCATCACAGTTATAACATAGGCCCTTCTCCCTCCTGGCAGCCATTTCATTGGCTGTGAGTAGTTTAACAGGTGTTCTTGGCTGGCTAGTTGCAGTGGCCTTTGGTTGTAGGTGTGGTTGTTGGTCATTCCTCTTGGTGTTGTTGTAGGTATTGTACTGGGGTCTGCGCATTCCTTTGACTTTTCTTATGATGGCACTCAAAGTTTCCATTTGCCTCTTGCCCAACTCTATGGTATGTTGTAAGGAACTGGGGTTAAACATGGAAATAAAGGCCTGCGCCTCTTCAGGTAAGCCACTAATAAAGCTGGCTATGAAATAATCTTCAGAATACCCCTTGTGGTTGAGCAGCTACATACATGCCTTTAGTTCTTCAAATTTGTCCACATAGTCCCCATAAGCCCCAGTCTGGCTGAGTTTGTTGAATTCAGCAATCACCTTAGTTTCCTTTAAATCTTCAAATCTTGCTGATACTAACTCAAGGAAATGCTCCCATTCTATGTTTCCCTGGTTAGCCACTGAGTTTTAGTACCACAGGGCAGCTTTGCCTTCAAAATTCATTGCAGCTAGGGTGACTTTTTGTGTATCTGGGATGTTGGATACTAACTTGAAATAGCCATTACATTTAAGGATCCATGACCTGGGTTGAGTCCCATCAAATTTTGGGAAATCCACTTTTGGCAAAGGGCTGATGAGATGAGGTGTTGGATTCTCCCACTGTAATCTCTGTTTCCCAGAAAGGAAAAATTTCGAATATGACCCCTCTCCTAGTATAGATTCCTCAGTTGGTCTTTTGTTTGGGTTCAGAAGTTGCAGCTGAATTGCAGCTAGGATGTTGGCAAGGTGATCATACTTGCTGTTCATGGTGTTGTTGAGTTCCCCCAGCTGGTCCTTAACCTTTGTGCTGATAGTGTCCATCGGCTCTTGTAATTTCAACTCAGAAGCTTCTTGTTTCATCGCTTCCATTTGCCGGTTTTGTTCGATTTTTCTTTGAGTTTCCTGCAAATTTTGATCCATTTTCTTCTGGATTTCTTGCAGATCTTTGAATCTGGTGCCTTCAGCCATGTTCCGAGGATCCAAGGCTCTGGATTTTAATTGTTATGGACTGGGTTTTTGATTTCTGATTTTTGTAATTTTTTTGTAATTTTTATAAAGCTTTAATTTACGTAAATGCGAGCTGAATTGGTGAAGAAGAAAGGGGAGGTATTTCAGAGAATGTAGAGAGAGGAAAGAGAGAAATTAGAGATGAGAAATTGTAACGGCCAAAAGTTGGCTATTCTGCATGACTCATTTCCCATTTATAATAGAAATAACAAACATAATAATAGGTCATCATTTGAGCTTTTCCTAACATGTTGTAGCCCAATCATTAAATAACTGAAATAACAAAAACAATTCATTTGGCCCAATCCTTAGCCAGTTCATCATCTTCATACTAGTATTCGACCTTGTGCATTTGCACAGATGTAAATAAAATTAAATATTATAAGTTATATTTATGTATATAATATAAAAATTATAAGTTATATAATTGTATTATATTTCAAACATATAGTATTATAAGTTATTATTTATGTATATAATATTAAAATTATAAATTATATAATAGTATTATATTTTAAAATTTGATTATTGGTTAAAATAAATAGTACACACGATTTGATTGTATACGAATCACTATATTGATCGCATAAAATGTAATAAATATATACTTTTTATAATTTTGAGTGATCATAACCAATTAATTAGCTCAAAAATATTACATTTATTATAACAATTGCTTATGTGATTTTAAGAAATTTTACTATGACATAAAAAAAATTAATTTATTAATAAACAACCGCTTCATCATATAAAAAAAAATTGATTTTAGTGTAAAATATAACTTTATGTAACTTTCATATATTATTTAGTATAAAATATAATTACTAATTTTAATATTAACTATTATATTATTCAATAAAAAATATAATTATTAATCAATTAACATAAAATATAATGGTTTTTGTCTTAATTAACCTAAAAAAATGTAATGAAATATTTTCTTTATAATGAGATTGAGTGTATTAATGCCACATAAATAAAATTTATTAGGTTCTATTTATTAGGTTTTATTAATGATTTGCCGGTAAAATTTATTAGGTTTTATTTATTAGGTAAAATTTATTGCTTAGCTAGCAATTATATATATATAGATTCATCTATCAAGACATAATCCTCTTTTCTCAGTCTTTTCCAAGATCTCGTCTTTTCCACGATCGACCTCGCTGGTTTCCATCTCCAAATACTTCCCTTTTTTTCCTTTAGCCACAAGTAGTAATTACCCCAATCCATGGGAAACAAAAATCCAACTCAAATTACCCATTTCCACGTGCAGTTCCTCACTTCCAAGTGAGAAAAGAACAAAATAAGAAAAAAATCATTGAAGCCTCTTGTATTGCATCTCCCAGCCGCCCACTCGTGCACTCCCAGACGACGCTGTTGAATTGAAGCCGTGAATCCAAAGGGGAGCTGCCTGACGCAGTTACATCCCCCCCACTTCTCGAGCCGCTCTTTTGGACTCAAGATAAGCCAGTTCCACATCTCATATCTGGATTCTGGACTCAGGGTTTTTCTGCTTTAGGTGATTTTTTTTTTTAATTTTTCCGAGCTCGTGCCTGTTTAACTGAGAATTGTTGATTTCGATTTGTTACTGAGCTTGTGAGTTATTATTGTTACTTGGTGTATTGAATTTGGTTGTGATTCGTGACTGAGCTGATAAATAAAATTGTGACTTCTGAGTTTTCTTATATAAAATGATTTTTCAATAAATTGGGGGGCCCGGCCCGTCCCGTTTTGACGGCTCTAGCGTTTCTTCTTCGCTTCTGTGTCGTTTGCTTTTCATTTTCTTGTGGAGATTTTGATACAGTTTATGTTTCTATACGAGTTGTCTTTTGTAGATATAGTTGTATGTACCTAAAAGCATTCCCTTTGGGAAAATGGAAGAATCGAATTTTCGGTCCAGTTCAGTATAACACGGTTTGATTACCGAACCAAACCCAGCCCTAGTTCAAATAATAAACCCACACATTAACTTTGTAGTTTAAGTAGTATAACTCATCTTTATAAATTATAAGAGTAGTGCATCAACTGAAGTATGATTGTATTTCTCTATATTCTCATTTTTTTTTTTAATTTGGATTTTCCTTGCAATTCACTTAAGAAAAAATGTTAAACTATACTGGATAAAGACCACCTCACTACCAATCTAATGGTTTGTTTGATAATTGATTGTAAGAAATTGGAAGCCAGACAAAGGGAATATTTCTTAAAATATCCTTTTTTTGGCTGAGTTTTTAGAGGGGATGGGAAAGAAAATATTTGATTCAAGTCCCTCTGGATTTAGGAGGAGAAGCTGACCAAAAAATTTCCCTTATCTATAACTTTATTTTCCTCTATTAACAAAGCACACCTATTTTTCTCTCATTTTTACACAACATATGAATTTATAGGCCCAAAAACTGTAGCCCAATTTTGAGGTAGTCCCAGTTCTTTCTTCTTTCAAGCCAATCAGTTTTTCAAAGCAAAGCCGGAATGGAAAAATGAAAAATTAAAATTTTGCACCCCACAGAACAGAGAAAAAGAACACGCAGTCCATCTCCGAGACAGCAACTCAGACTCACTTTATTGCTCCAAAGATGTAAGTTCATACTTCTTAATCGTCTAC